TCTCACACTCTCTCTTCTTCTCTCTCCCTCTTCTCTCTCTCTCTCTCACACACACTCTCTCTTCTTCTCTCTCTCTCTCTTGTCTCTGTCTCTCACACTCTCTCTTCTTCTCTTCTCTCTTCTCTCTCTCTCTCCTCTATCTTCTCTCTCTCTCCTCCCTCTCTCTCTTCTTCCTTCTCTCACACTTCTCTCTTACTTCTCTATCTCTCTCTCTCTCCACACTCTTCTTCTTCTCTCTCCTCTCTGTGTCTCTCTCTACACACACACTCTCTCTTCTTCTCTCTCTCTCCTTCTCTCTTGTCTCTGTCTCTCACACTCTCTCTCTTCGTCCTTCTCTCTCTCTCCGCTCTCTCTCCTCTCTCTCTTCTTCTCTCTCTCACGCTCTCTTCTCTCTCTCTCTCCTCTCTCTCTCTCTCCACTCTCCTCTTCTCTCTCTCTCTCTCTCTCTCTCTCTCTCTATCTCTCTCTGTGTCTCTCACACTCTCTCTCTTCTTCTCTCTCTCTCACACACACTCTCTCTAGCCCGTCTTTCATCAGGCTTATGCAGCTTGTCATATAATTAATGTTAAATACATGTCTGCTTTTCAAAAGGGACTGATGCTATCAGAGTTTTCCTCTTAATGAGACTTGAGCCTCTGCAGCCCAATCCCCATAGGACATGTCTAATAGTACACAACAACAATGCGCCATGTCAATAGTCTGTGTTGTCCTTCTAATCCAAAGGTGCACCCAAATGATTAACTCATTTAATTTGATTTCAAATACAAAAAAAAACAGAAACAAATCTAGAGACAATAACATTGATTAGTTGGGATTACTTTGAGGCAGAGACAGTGGAAGCTTAAGTGCAATGATTCGGTCATCCTCCAGGCTTCTTGTATTTTCATGTGTCTCACAGATTCATACTAGATTCACTGGGTATCTACTGTAAAAGATAGCTGGGTCTCAGCCCTCTTGTTGTCTAAATGAGTGGACGGTTAGGGCTCCTTCAACTGGAGGGCCTACTGGCTGTGAATAAGACAACACATGGAGGCCTTCCAGCACCACTCATCGCTAGTGTTTACTATGCATTGCTCATTGTTGATGACAACCTCACATTGGTCAGTGTCAACAAGCTCCTGAGGCTACTTGAATATATTGTGACTTGAGTTCAGGTCTAGGTCTGAGTCAGGATGCAGTGATTGGAAGTTGGGTTTGGGTTTTGGACTGCATCTGTTTACTCATGCTCTGGGTGGGCCCTGATCTGGAATTAAGCCCATTTGTCTGATGATTAATTGGACGTTCTTAACGGCAAAGAAGCATCTGATTTCCTATGCTTTGGTCAATGGACTCTCAATGAAATGTAGCCAACCAGATCATTGCTTACATTTATAATTTACCTCACCCTTCCCCTGACTTATCATTTATTACCCCTGTAGACAGTAAAGATCAAGCATCCATGCAACAATCGGTGATACATCTTGACATGGTCCTCTACTTGACCTTTACAACCTTTAAATATTTACTTGGTATATTAGGCTACATATGGAAATATCTGCATTAAAAACTAGAGCCTCCTTCCATGAAAACCTGTAACAAGGGTTCCGGAGTTATGTCAGAAATATAAATGTTCCAGTGTAGTGAGAAAACGTGTGATGCAGTTCAGTTTCTTTGACTTCAAACGTACACTCTAGCTCAACGTGCACTCTAACTTAACATGCACTCTAGCAGCCAAAGACATCCAGCAAGTTACCTGATGTTCTTAATATGCCGTCCAGCATTCCAAATAACCACAACTGCAACAGCCAAACCTCATTTATGACATGTTTGAGATACAGGCAGCAACAGGTTGTTGTTGTTGTTACCTACCTGTCTCTTCGTGTGCTCACTGATCTCCCCAGGCATGTCGTGAGCACTCTTGACCAGAGTCCTGGCGATGTGGTAGTAGTACACAGAGATGATCCCCAGGGGAATCAGGAAGTACACCAGGAATATGAGGATGGAGTGGATCTTGGGATGCATGTCGTTGTAGAGGGGATAGGGCACACAGGCAGTGAAGGTCACATTCTTGTCCTGGATGTGTACTACCTGGGAGAAGATGGCCTCGGGCACCGCCAGCAGGATGGAGATCACCCAGATGGACACAGCTTTCAGACATGTCCAGAACACAGCACTGGATGTTTGGATGTCCATAGGATTTACTATGGCTTTGTACCTGGAAACCCAACAACACCATAGAAAATGTTTTAGTGCTCCTTCATCTTGATGTCAAAGGCTACAGCGCACCTCCAGGATCATGGCAGATTTGACGCTCAGAGGTGGTGATAGACAGATATGATCATGGATCGTTTGAAGATGGTTCTCTGCAACTCACACTGATAATAGACACTCTAATTCTTTTTCAGACTCTCCAAACCTTTTTCAAGCACTATTGTAGATAAAACAAATGAACATTAATAGAGAGCCTTTATTGACATTTTCAAATTAATCATGAAATTAGATTAAAAGCAGAGTATTTTCCATGTAAATGGAATGAAATGTCCAGCTGTCCTTACTGCTCTAATTTCCTTCTGTAAATATAATATACATTTACATTTTAATCATTTAGTAGATGCTCAAATCCAGAGCGACTTGCTATTGTGATTATATTTAATTAATCTAATTAACTTTCTTCTTCTTTGCGAAATGAAGAGGCTTTGACAAAGACATGGCATCTCTGAGTCCATTGGCACAGAATAGAAGCTTCATAGATTGTTGGAGGTGATATTAAAACATGTAAAAGACCTATGAAGTGCATTATGATTGCACTAGCTAATTAATTACTGTCCTGACTGTAACACACCCAAATGAATTACAATAATTGCCACTGAATTGAATTACAATTATTCAACTGAAACAACAATGTGTTTCTGCACTGCTCCCAAAGTGCATGTAAATGTTGAAACCAAGTTGATCAATACAACTCATTTAAAGGTTAGACTTTGGACTGATCTCCTGTGTAAATCAACACTCAGTGCTATGTGCACAGAATAATCCATTCCTGCTAAGTCATATAATGGGAAGAAATATATGAAATGAGGGTGCAACAGAGGATGTGTGCTCCACTGGGCATGAAGTTATTTTTTATGCTTCAATGATGGAAGATTTTTCCCCTCCTGCCAGTTTTCTAAAGGATATTTTTGCTGATAAAATGTCTGGTTAGGAGGAGAATCTCCATTGGAAGCCCTTTACTGTGATGTTACACCAGCCTCAGCTGCCCTCTGCCCCTGTAGAAATCCCCCATAGTCAAAGACCACGCTGCATCGGGCAAGAACAGACAAGCACAGAAAAACTGACAGTCTTTGATATCTCACCAGAGAAAACAAGGCTGGGTTTATGCATTTACTGTAACAAACTGCTGTAATCCCACTTCTCTGTGTTTTCATGCTTAAGAGCAAGTGCCCAAGGGAGTGCTAAGAAGATTACATTCTTTAAAGCCATCACATAGGGTAAGCATATACATGGTGTATTTTCATTGCTCACATTACATGCTCAAATGGACAAGGCAGACCATAGAGAGAACAGCTGTAGACTGTAATCTCTCCATATGGCTGACCTAATAGCTCCTAGTGACAAGGATGGCCAACAGTCATCGTCATTTCCGGAGAAGAGTGACACAGCCAAACATTTCCTCCAACTGATAGAGCTCTGGATTACGGTCAGTGTCATAGAAAGGCTAAGTACAAAGTCCTGCACCATCTTCTGACCACTATCATGGCCTGCACAATGGGGTATTATTTTTATCAGAGAATCTCATGGACTTTAATTTGATAATAATAATCATTTTTAACAAAATCAATATTTGGCAGCCCAGGAATTTTCATGACATCAGTGAACTTTTAGCAGAGGAAGGAGCTCTTAATACCAGCAAACAAGCTATTTGTGGGGGTATGGAATGGTCACTTAAGAAGGTCAACGTCTCCAAGCACCAGTGGTCTTGGTGAGGGTATGTGGAGGAGAGGAAAGGAAAGTGGGGGCTGGGTCAAATTAAGGTCCCAAACAAAGATTTGGGCATGCTTGCCCTTTTAACCATCCACCCACGCAGACAGTAAATGATGCTCTGTGCAGACGCTTCTGACTGTGACGCTTCCTGAATGCCTCATGTCATTCTATTCCAATCTCCGCATTAATGCTGCTCCTTCCAGGGAAGATAAAAGGCCATTTAACCATGTGTCTCATCTGAATAAAACAATATACCACAAGTTAGGTTTATTGAAGTTAGTACAACCAGTAGGTGTACACTATTTGATCCCTTTAAAAAAATTCTGAGAATACACTTGGTCTGTCAATCAAAATATGAACAGATTTGTCAGTGACAATTTCCCAGCATTCAATTATGATAACACTTGGGGATATAGTTTGGGGATCACACACTGTTGTCAATACAAATAATCATAGTCATAACAACTGATTAATCATTAATAACTACATATGTTAATTATTCTATCACGTTAGCATGCAATTGCCATAACATTTACAATTACATAAGTTAGGTACAGTATACATAACACTATTGGCAGTAAGGATATTTCACATTCACCTACTCTTCATCTTACCTGTCGGCGCTGAGAGCCGTGAGAGTGAACACCGAGACTCCGACTGAAGTGAGTTGAATGACCGGTATTAGTTTGCAAGCCACAACACCGAAGATCCACTCCTCAAAGAAGTATCTGAACGCATCCACTGGAACACAAGTGACCAAAAGCAAAAGATCCCCAGCTGCCAAACTCGAAATAAATATGTTGGGGACGCTCCTCATTGCACTGTTGGTGATAAAAATCTTAACCAAGGTAATGTTCCCCAACAACCCAATCGTTATGATCAGAATATACACAGTCGGTATGACACATTTTATAATAAAATCAATAGTTTCCCTTCTATCAGGTATCCAATCGTCAGTAAAGTTATAAAAGACAGAATGTCCAGTATAAGATAAGTTATCTAAAATATTATCCATTGTTACTCAGGGATTTGTACAATAATCACTTTGATAAAATGGCACTGAAGATGTTGACCGTTTTCCAAAGCAGGTCTGAGGCGCGGGAGCTGTCCCTCCAAGAAAATGCTGAAATGTCCGGGTTGCGCGACTCAAGCCACACTGACTGAAGCGTGCAAAAGGAGGCACTTTTTCAACACGCATAGCGTAGCCTATAGCAACGATGACGGAAAAAGAAGTCACACCAGTTTTGCGTGTGATGTGTAGCATTGTCAATGCTACTCATATACCGTTTCATAGTGATAATTTCATCGAATATAAACGGAATAAACTACAGGCTATGCTTGGCTACTGTATTAGCACCAACTACAATTTTCACGTTTAGGATGAGAAAGCTGTGCTTGGAAAGATGTGTGAATGTGGATGAGGTTTTCTTTGGGTCTACTAAGGAAAATCCAATAAGTACTTTTTCGAAACTGAACCACCTCATTGTGCAAACTGAGCAGGATGTTGATCTCCTGTGCAGGTGTTTCATTGTCAGCCCGCCCTATCTGTAAGAGCTGTATGATGTCCTTCTTTGAGTCACCAGGGAAAGTGAAGGGTGGTAGAAATCCAATAAATACGGAAAGCAGTGAGGGTGCTAAAGTTTGGGAGAGACTCACAGAGGGGATTCGAGGGGGAAGTGAAGTAGCCTAAGTCAGAACATAAACGAACGTTTCCCTGGCCTATTCCCCATACAGGAGTTAAAAGAAAGCCGATTAAGGTATATCGCGCATTGCCATGCTGCGGCAACGTGGTCCTCTGTAGCTCAATTGGTAGAGCATGGCGCTTGTAACGCCAGGGTAGTGGGTTCGATCCCCGGGACCACCCATACGTAAAAATGTATGTACACATGACTGTAAGTCGCTTTGGATAAAAGCGTCTGCCAAATGGCATATTATATATTATATTAGCAAACACATTTACTTATTAAAATAGAGTGCAGAACGCATCACAAGCATATGCAAATTAAGTGAGTGCAGCTTTTGTGATTATATGTGTTGTTCTTGACTTCGTTTCACACTGGCTATTTTGGCACTGTGTTTCTGGGGCTAGCCCCGAAAAGTCAGTGCTAACCCTGCTCCGGAGCAGGGCCAGCTAGCCCTGAGCTAAGGTTGGCGCTAGCCCACTTTAGAATGAGCAAGTGTGAACAGACGCTTTGCCCCAGGCTAAAATCTCCCTTAACCCAGGTCTAAGGAGGTGCAGTGTGAACTCGAGACAGACCTGCCCAGCAGCGCACCGGATCAGACACCTCATGCATTTTTAAAAATTGAGAAATATGGCACCAAACACCTTAGCTATACGTAAAATTGCACCACTAAAACCTCCTAAGAATTTTTTTCCAAATTAATACACAGATTTATTGAGTTATTCCTACTGACTATTTTGAGGAAGTAATTCTGGTTTAGTTGCTATGGTGTGTCATGGGGAAGAAATATCAGTAACTGCCACATCGAGCCACCACACCCCCAAGAAGGAACATTTCATTTTTCTTAATGGGCATCAGAGAAACACATGCAGAATCGGTTTGACCGTTTTATTTGTTGTGAAGCTTTCCCAAATCATGTGTGCTTGTTTAGTGACATCTACTGGCACATGCATCATATTAGGAACCATTTATATGGAGCATAGGCTACAGTGCACATTGGGCAAATCGAGACTTTCCAATTTACAATCAGGAAATCTCATTTGCAATTATGTAATATTCACAGTGCTTTGCCATGACTGATTAATATGAATTAAGCCATTTTATAATAAACGTATCAGTCTCTGTCCATCTATGCAGAGCTATGCAGTCTGCAGTGCCAATGGAAATAGTTACTGCTGTGAGTTGCATTTGAACGTTTATTTAATAACTTGGCAACGACTGGAAACCCCTCAAGTGCATGCCTATCACAGAAACACCTGCTTTAAATGCCAATGTACCATTGTGAATGTCCATATCAGTTGTTCTCTATCAGTTTGTGCGTAAAACAGATTCCAATTCAGACCACTCATAGTTAATGCAGGTGTAGGCTATTCTATTTATTGAGCTATAGGCCTATGCCGTGTCCTTATGTTTGTATGTGTTGCCTATCGAAGCTTAAATTTACTCAACTAGTCTATTATGAAATTGTCTCTTTTCATCATCCCATATGATAAACGTCCGTGGTAGAGCAGTCGTTTATGTCCCTCAGGTAGGATGTTGCTTTTTACGCTGACTGATGAGGACAGGGACAACTGAGTGACTGCGTCGTGTGGACCACGTGCTCTCTCTGGATGTTTGCGGGACGGTGTTATCTTTATTTAGGTAATTAGTACCTCTGTACGTTATGCTCTCTCTCTCTATTGACTGCTTTAAATGCCTGATCTCACTGATGCTTTGCTTGTTGGTTTGTTGTTTGAGCTCTGACAAGTACGCGTTCAGTAAAAGAAACGCATCCATCATGGTACTCTTCCAGCAGGTCTCTCCCTGGAAGCGCAAGAGTGGCATGAGTTTAGGACCTAAACTCTGATTGAGAGGGGGAATGAACAGCACTCCGCCTGGTTTACGGTTGGTGTGTGGACTTCATTTTATTACCTGATTTGTTTATTTTGTAGTGTTTTCCTGCTGTGTGTTTGCTCTAGCTTGCTGAAGCTGGGACAACTTCGTGATTGATCTTCCAGATGTGGGCTACTACAGTGCAGGGTGTGTATCGCGATGTTGCAACCGGGAGAAGTTCCCTTTGACTGCGTAGTTATATAAATCACTTTTTCGTGTGCCTCAAAACAGTTCAAATATGTCAGTGAAAGTATTCCGAGTTAATTTACTCAAAGATTATAAAAAAAGTATAAAAGATTAGCTGAAATATGTAGTTTCTAACTGCTCTTTTGTCAGAAGTTGTTTACTAGCTCCTAAATCACTTCTCTACAATTGTCATTTCAAATGTCATTTTATTGCCTTCAGGTGGAAATTGACATGCAAATTCTTTAGATGGAGTTATAAAACTAACTTTCAAACACAATTTATCTCATATTGTTCAGTTGGAAGCTCAAAATAACATGCCCCCAAGTGCCACTATTGCATTGTACTATTTTGCTTTCTCTCCCTATTGTGTTTTACAAGAGTTGTTTTTTCGCTGACTTTGTTCAATGGGGATTATGGGTCGACCACATGCCCCGTGCCTTTGTTTTTCCTTTCTGTTGTCTTTTTTTCTACTGAGTGAGTAAATTGATGAAGGCACCGCGGATAAAAGACAAATATGCATTGACAAGGGCTTTCAGCGGCAAAAGGTCATTAGGAGCTTCAGAATTATAGTTGGCTTTGCCTGATGCCAGCAGATTGACAATGAGGGCCGCGGGTTACAATATAATTGAACTGGGAGAATAGCAGCCAAGTCATGTCTTTAAACTACATAAATAACTTTTATGAAGGATGTGTAAGTATGGTGATACCAAGAATATATCGAATATTGGACAATGGTCGTGGTCACTTTGAGCCCAGTGAGTTCTCTGAATTATTCATCTACCTGTACAATAGTGTGGATAGACTATTGTATTTGTTGATAGTTGACTAAGAGTGTTACACATAGCGTAGTAAATATCCTACTTTCTGAAAAGGTTTGTGTTGTTTGAAACATGACAGATAGATAACCTATTACTGACATACTCCATGCATTACTGATTTATAAGCATGTTTGAAGTTCTTTAATTTAGATCTGATATTTGGTCCATCTGCTATTTATTGATGAAGAGGGTGTATTCCAATGTGTAATCTGTTCACAACTGCCTTTCCAAGCTTTTTTGACAGTTTATGTAATTCATGAAATGATAATCATACTTCTGCTTCCTTAATCAGTTTTCACACACTTTTCTTTTACAAACAAATGCTGTTTTAAAGCATTTTACTATGTTTGTGTGTTTGTGTTTTAGCTCAGGCCTCCGACGGTGATAGGCCAGTTCCACACACTGTTCTTTGGCTCTGTTCGGATGTTCTTTCTTGGCGTCCTGGGCTTTGCAGTCTATGGCAATGAAGCTCTCCATTTCAGCTGCGATCCAGACAGGAGGGAGTTAAACCTCTACTGTTACAACCAATTTAGGCCTATAACACCTCAGGTAAGACAGCTTCCTGCATTAATTTATCTGATATTAGAATACAAGCTAGACTGAAACCATTGGTAATATGTCAGAATCCACAAACAGTTGTGAACTGTGCATACAATTAGCATTTGAGAGCTATTCCCATTAAAGGTAGTGGTAAAGAATCAGAGATCACCAATTTTCACTCTACCATCGTTATAATATTCTACAAAGGATTATATATATTTTTTTCACGTCATCCATTACAATAATATAAAATTGATATTGTATAATGTGATGAAAACCCAACAGTATTCATTCCAGTCATTAAGTTCCAGTTTAAGTCAATGTGAATAACAAAGTCATGGAACAGAGGGACCAAAGATGTGATGTTATTCAATGTTGACTTGTGAATAGGATGTTTTTCCACTAGCCAGAATGTTATTCTGCTTGCAGGTATTCTGGGCTTTGCAGTTGGTAACTGTTCTAGTCCCTGGAGCTGTATTTCATCTCTATGCTGCCTGTAAAAACATTGACCAGGAGGAAATCCTTCAGAGACCTATATACACCGTCTTCTACATCATCTCTGTCCTACTAAGAATTATTCTGGAAGTCATCGCTTTTTGGTTACAGAGCCATCTCTTTGGTTTCCAGGTTCACCCACTCTACATGTGTGATGCCAGTGCCCTAGAAAAGACGTTCAACGTCACAAAATGCATGGTGCCAGAACACTTTGAAAAGACCATATTTTTAAGTGCAATGTACACTTTCACTGTGATCACGGTGCTGCTGTGTGTTGCTGAGATATTTGAGATACTCTGTAGGAGATTGGGTTATTTGACCAATCAATGACCTGTGTGTTATTTGCTACAGAGTAATTGGTCATATTTCACATTTCTGTGTGTCTTATCCAGGCCGAAAACTACATACCTCTGCTTTTTTTTGTTGGGAGTTGACACTCAAAGACACTTCTTTCCATAATCCCATTGTTTAAGTCAAGTCACACAGATTTAAACCTTATTTTGTCAATAGACTAATGATATTGTTGTATCGTATGCAGCTTTCAATCATTGGCCCACGTAAGAAAGAAACTTGTTACCAGTCATTCTAATATTTTCCACATCCATACTTTAGTCTTTGTACCAAGTGAAAGTACTATAGCATTGTTGTAGTCTTCTTAGGGGCCTATAGACAAACCTATATCCCACAGTAATGTAATCTAATTGTCCAGAATAACATATGAACAATGTCATGTCATCAAGGGTAACATGCTGATACACTACGACACAAGGTGAAAATTGGTCATTTTAAGGCATTGGACTATACCTACAGATGAAAAACGGCAGGAAAAAATGTCACCTAATGAAGCTTGGATTTGATTTCAATATTTGGCCCTTATTATTTTCAGGTCATAATAAATTATTAATTGTACATTTGTATGAATTGAAGTACCGGACTATATAAAGGTTCTCAAATTAGTTTTAAATTTGAACGATTTTTGCACATCTCCTTTGATGATTACGAAATTAAGGTTTTTAAATACTGTATATAGGAATGGTATCAATAACATTTAAAGAAGATGGGTTTCCATGCTACCAGATTTATCATGCAGATTTAAGTGTAATTGCTGATAAGTGTGCTGGTCACAGTGTGAATGGATAACCCATATATTTGACTATTTTAAGACCCTTTTCATAGCTTGTAGTATTATGCTTTTGATTTAACACTGTGTTGTAGCTGTACTGAAAATTATTACCTCTTTTGTTTTGTATTTGTAAGTTATTATCAGGCATCCATCCAACTTTTGTTATTTTTTTCAGCTAAATGTATCATCTCAGGTACAATATGGCATACTGCTTTCTGGTATTTGTGACAGATGGATGGTTTTAAAGTTTGCCTCTTTCATTTTGTACAAAAAGCTGAGGTAACTGTTAAAAGAAGCAATGACATTCATTTGATTGTCAGTAAATCTGAGGAGTATTTTGGGGAAGTGGGATCAATTAGTTATCAAGCTAATTCCAATATACACAGTCTGAAATTCTGCATATTGTATGGGTCAAAGAGATGTTAATTAATTAATTAATTAATCAGAAATTCCAGGCTTGAGAGAAACTATGAATATCTAGCTCACAAAGTAATTAATCCTGCATTGTGAAAATCCCTACAAGGACATATATTCTTATTTGTTTCGTAGGTTTTTATTTTTACTAATGTTTGGTTGCAATGTTTACATTTCTTAGGGTAATTGAAATTCATTTCATTACATCTATTCTGTCTGTTTTGACTGAGTGTACTTTATAAAATGCATACAACTTCTCAGCTTTGTTTAATAAAAGAGGCACATTTTATGACCAACTCATATCTTAGGACAATATTGTTCTACAGTATGTTGTTTCTGAAAAATCTATCTGTGTTGCTTTTTAGGTCAGGATCAAACACTTATGTCTCAAAAGTATCAATGAGATGATAAAAAAATGTTTATTAGAGGTGGTGCTATGCTGCTGCTTTTTTGTACTGACAAACTTTTGTATTGACAAAGCAATCCTACAATAACAGGACTGCTGCATGCCCAGTTTCAGTTTTTTTCTATACATACCCTGTGTTCATGATAGCCCCATGCAATCTCTTGGGGGAGGGGGGGGGGGGGGGGGGGGGGGGGGGGGGGGGGGGGAGTCAATATGCAGTGTAATCACAGTAGATCATTGTGGTGTCGAAAACTCCCCAACCCATATAGCTTACAAGCTGCATGCAGTTCCTTGACAGTTTACTGCACAGGTATGCCATAAATCTTATTGATTATTATTACATTAATATCATAATAATATTGTTGGCTACTCACAGCTCTTGAGATCACCATGGAATGCATTGCAGTACACAGTAATCAATATGTCAATATGATGCTGTTTTGCCTTTCGCTTTGACAGTCCTCCGGTCCTGAGATGGCGCTACACGTATTGAACAAGGAGCGGAAGAATTCTGCGCAAGGAGGAGCACTTTTTTGAGAGCTAGCAATCCACATTTCGATTGTTGATTAATCTGTCATAGTTAGTGTTATTTACATTATTAGAGATGGCTCTCCCACCACAGCTAAAAGCCATTCAACACTATCTAAGAACTGCACAGGAACTTGAGAAGAGGGATCCTGTCGTGGCTTACTACTGTGAGTTTGTATTAGTACCATTACTACCCAACTCGGCTAACGCGTTAGTTTTCCATTGTTGTCTGTTACGGTTCAGCTGTAAACTTGATTATGGGCATAGCTATGCATCGTCAAGTCAAATAGCTAACGTTAGGTTACTATTGTGAGAATATAAATCCGTCATTTTACGAGATGCGTAGAAAGGTTAGTTAACGTTCGCTAGCCAGCCATGTCCTTGCTTTAGTTAACGTTAACTAGCTAGCTAACGTTAGCTATGGAATCATATACCACCAGGTAGCTGCTAACGAATCATCTTGCTGACAGTCTTACTAGTGGGTAACTAAGTAAGCTTACTTCCTTTGCTGACTTTTCAGTCGGCTTTTTGCTTTCACAAAAGAAGTCGAGGTTCATAGCCTTCATTACTAGCTAGCTAACGTTAGCCAACTGGTTTAGATAGGTTAGCTACAAACAGTGCTCAAAGTAACATTAGTAGCTAGCTAACGTACTTTGCCACCTTTGCGAAAAAACAGTTTATATGGTAAGCTTTGTGGTAAGATCCTGGCTGGTTATCTGGCTTGCCAGATAGAGTTTAAAGGGATACTTCGGATTTTGGAATTGATGGCCGTTATCTACTTCCCCAGAGTCAGATGAACTTGTGGATACCATTTTTATGTCTCTGTTGTTTTTTATGCTGATTATTCAGTACAAGAGCAAGGTAATGTTGATACGAATGTCTTTACTTCAGCATCTTTGGGTAGCATGCATACAGCTCAATTTAGTGCACAGTAAGTAATACCTAACTTAGCTCACTCCTACTAAAGAGTATTACACTAAGATACACATAACAGCAGCGCCATTTATTGGCGTGGCGACATCTCCTAACAGAAGTTAGAGGTAGTTTCGCAAGCCAGTGCTAACTAGCCTCAACATGCTAGCAGATACCCATAGACTTCCAGCAATTGCGCTAACGCTTGTTAGCAATTGCGCTAGAGCTACTTAACAACTTACTTCAAACTGCACGCAGAGACATAAAAATGGTATCCACTTGTTCATCTGACTCTGGCAGTGGAAGTTGCGTTAGGCTAGCTCTGGGAGCTAGTCCTCAACTCTCAGGACAAAATCATTCAAATATAGGTTACTGAACTATCTCCACTATAATAATTTATTACATTTGTAAAGTGCTTTTCATTATACAAGAATAATCTCAAAGTGGATAAAATTTAAAAGAAACTACAAAAATAGTTACTGAACAAAAATATAAACGCCACATGCAACAATTTCAAAGATTTACTGAGTTACAGTTCATATAAGAAAATCAGTCAATTGAAATAGATTCGTTAGGCCTTAATCTATGGATTTCACATGACTGGGCAGGGCTGCAGCCATGACTGGGCCTTGGATGGCATAGGCCCACCCACTGGGGAGCTAGTCCCAGCCAATCAGAATGAGTTTTCCCCCACAAAATGGCTTTATTACAGACAGAAATACCCCCCTACCCCCCCACCCCCCTCAGACGATGTGGAGGTCCTGGGCTGGCGTGGTTACACGTGGTCTGCGGTTGTGAGGCCGGTTGGATGCACTGCCAAATACTCTAAAACAACATTGGAGGCAGCTTATGGTAGAGAAATGTACATTCAATTTTCTGGCAACAGCTCTGGTGGACATTCCTGCAGTCAGCATGCCAATTGCACGCTCCCTCAAAACTTGAGACATCTGTGGCATTGTGTTGTGACAAAACGACAGATTTTAAAGTGGCCTTTTATTGTCCCCAGCACAAGGTGCACCTGCTAATGATCATGCTGTTTAATCAGCCTCTTGATATGCCACACCTGTCAGGTGGATGGATTGTCTTGGCAAAGGGAAAATGCTCACTAACAGGGATGTAAACAAATTTGTGCACAAAATTAGAGATTTGTTTGTTGTTGTGCCTATGGAACATTTCTGCGATTTATTTTTATTTCAGCTCATGAAACATGGGACCAACACTTAACACGTTGGGTTTATTTTTTTGTGTGTGTGGACAATTCCACAGTAACAGAACGACGCTAAGACTTTATAATGTGTTACTTTAAAATTATGCCAAACAAAAACTATTGATTACAAAATTAAACAAACCATACAACTCTGTGCACAAGGACTCGTTTTAAAAATGTCCACAGAAAATTGTAAAAAAAAAAAACACATTTACAAGAAGAACAGTGCAGATGTAAAGTTTGGTAACAGAATGACAGTAAAATATTTTGTATGTGACCATGTTTTCCAAAGATGTCTGCAGAAGGAATGGGGTGTCAGGTATAATATGACACCTTAAGTTTGACCTCTTTTGGTTATTGAACACCCGGTAACAGATTGGTGGCAGGTAGCTTAGTGGTTAAGAGCGTTGTGCCAGTAACCGAAAGGTCGCTGGTTCTAATCCCCGAGCCGACTAGGTGAAAAATCTGTCGATGTGCCCTTGAGCAAGGCACTTAACCCTAATTGCTCCTGTAAGTCGCTCTGGATAAGAGCGTCTGCTAAATGACGTATGTAGATTGATGGTAACAGAATGACATCATGGGTCCCTGATTTGTACTATACAGAAATGCATAATTATGAATGTAATTCTCTTCATGGGGATCTATTAGGTACACAAACATTGAAAAATATAATATCTTCCTTTGCATGTATGGGTATTGTTACAAAACCAATAACTAGCCTACGGATATTGTTGCAC